GAGCAGCTAAACACCCAGATTCCAGCTTCCGCATTCTCGTGTGGCAGCTACACCCATCAACTGTAGTACAATTTTATTTCTAGGATCAGAAGAGTCTGGTGGTTGGAAGCAATAAAAAAAAGTGTCATTACACCACAGTATGCTGTCAAGACTTTCTGCAAGCAGGAATATCAGAGGCACAGCTATACAATGGCGCATTTGTGATCTTCATTCAAGGTAATGTTTTAGAATCTCTGGCAGTAATGCAAACACTGAAATTACCTTTCCTTATCTAAGAATTTGAAAAATGTAAGGTCATTTTCTTCTTCATATAACCTCTATGATCTGGATAAAATTCCTATTTTCTCTATCTAACCTGCAGAGATTGAATTTAAATTCTTTTGGGATTAAGTCACAGATATATAAGATCAATATCTGAAGAGTTGAAAAATGAAAAAGGAGGAAAAGGTACACACATTCTCTACCAAAAACCTCTCATAGTATTACTTCTTTGTTATTGTTACTTCCAAGGAGAGAACAGAACACATGCCACTGTTATTGGAGAAAAGTATCCTAAGTAAAAATAACAGGAAATAAAGGAGGACCTTCCCTTAAAAAAACAAAAAACTACCAGCTGTGCTGAGGAAAATGTATGAAAGAAAAGGGTAGACTCTATACAAGAATTGTCTAGTTCCCAGAAATGGTTTAGAAAATTATTCCCACATTATCCACTATTGACCCAAACAGCAAGTACCATTTGCCATACTACTACTTAAAACGTTTTCTGAAATGCTATTTGTCCCTTATTACAAAATACATTTCGGTCATCTAAAATTTGGCACTAAATCTTAGACTATCCGGAGATAACTTTGTTTAAAAGTCCTAATTTTTCCTGAGTTCATTAACTCAATTTACATATGTGTTAAGAGGTTGCCTCCCCTAATGAGAAACTTCTCAAACTAGCACCCCTGCGGAGGATTAAGCAAACTGAAACAAGAAGTCGCTCACGTGAGCGTGCATGGAGGGGGAGTGATGACAACTGGCTGAAGAGAGAATGAGAGGGACAGACAATGAAAGAGAGAGAGACTGATGTGATGGGGCTACTCATTTGATTTTTCAGGTTCTTCCAATTAAGTGTCTAGCTAGAGACAGTCCCAGGAGTGGCTTCACTATATAGACTTTAAAAAGATAGGAAAATCACAAAAATAAATGTTCACATGTACTTAATGTCAATTTTCCTACATAAAGCAACCTAAAAAAGAAAAAAATCATTGCCCAACCAGCAGGCAGCACAAACATAAGACCCCTAACAAAACCAAACAAATCAATCATTAACCCATACAATCTAATCAGCAGAATCAACTGGAAGCAATGACTACACTTTGAAAAGGCACAAAGTATTTAGTCCAGAAAGATGTAAAGATGAAATGTTAAAAATGTAACTCTTCATAATAAATTAAAAGTGATGTGATAATTCAAGCTATATGCATAGCTGTCTACTTAGTGTTTAAAGCCAATTATAGCAAAAAGCAACAAAGAATACTCATTTATTAGCCCTTAACACTTCTCAGTCACTCTGTAAGAATGATTGACACTTTTTAAGGTTTGGAGAAAATTGTTAGTGTACTTATTCATGACCTACCATCACTTACGATGTAGTCACTTACAAAGCACCAGTTTAAAACCATATTTTTTTTACTCCTTTTTTTTCCCTCTCATCATGAATTTCTAAATCACTTAAATATATGCGAAATCTACCACCTCTACAGTTGTTGATTATAGGTATCCTGCTGATATAAGGAGCTAACCCTACATTTAAGTATTATTTTAGAATAACTACAAAAAACAACAACAAAGAAAAACAGGTGGAGGTTTCTTATAAAAATAACCTCAACTTGATCTTCAAAAAAAAACTAAGGCAAAAATTATTTTGATAATGTAGTGTAAAAATAAGCTTATTATTCAGCATATGATAGTGTTCACTGAAAACAACATTCAATTAAAACTGAGGAAAACTGTTTGTACTTGTAACTGGTTTATCAGTACGACTATTCCCAGAGTATTTTCTTCTGCTCTTAGTTTTACACATATAAACACAAACATTTAATACTTAATCTCAGTATTCAAACTTAATGGTATTATTTTTCTTAAAAAAAAATCCATTATCCTAAGACTTCAGCTGTGCTTCTTTGGACAAATATTTATTCAAACACCAAGAATGTAAATTCTTAAAAACTATTTAATACCTACTAAAAATCTTTGGTGCATTTAAGTCAAAACCGATCAGGTTAATAGAGTTCTGCACTTGATAAATTATTCAATTTACATATTAAGTGCTAACTGCTATCTGCTAAATATTAATTTAAAACAATAAATTATACTCACAAAATAAAAAAATTCTCACTGAGGCTAAACTTAAGTTGTGAGACAACATTTTAGTTACAAAATAAGAGATTTTAGAGTTACAGAAAGGTGAACTAGAAGAGTAGGCCTCATTTTATACTTTCTATGCCAACTTCAAAATTCTATATACATTCAGTTTTGCCTAAATCCATGAAGATTTGTCCCAAGTAATTTTTTTTTTCTGTTTTTGGAAATTAAAGGCAGCAAGTCTGTTTCCTTGTGGGCTTTTTGTTTGCTGTTTCTATGTGAGAATTCAACAGCCTTCCTCGGAGAAGGAGAATGGAGTGCCTGAGCACAATGAGCATCTATCAGCACGGCCTTCCCATCACCTGCCAGTCACCCACCAGGCACTGGCCCACCGGCGGCCACACCACTTCTTTCTTCCTAGCCTCAAAATCTTTTTCTCCAAAGAGAAACGCATCACATCGCTTCCATTTCGGAGTGGATTACAAGGGCCCAGTGAGACGGCATGTGAATGTATTTAGACAACAGTAAACCACTATTCAAGTTCAAGTTATCTATAGTAAGAACAAAACCCAACTATTCACTTTACTTCAGAGCTATATTCCAGAAAAGTTTTATGCAAATCCAGCGCTATAGTTACATCATATATTTAAAGCATTAGAACATCATTAATAAAAGAATCCTAAATACCTTCCAAAAGCCAAATATTCTTTTCAATGTGAAAATGCAAATCCTCTTTTCCTGCCACCAAATATACACTATGCCATATATACACAGACATACCATTTGCCTTATTATAAGTCTGAAGTTTTTACATTAGCTTACACATAAAGCAGAATATATTTTTAGATAAGCTCTGTTTTCATCGTAGTGTAAGATTTTGTCTTACTATAATCTTGCCAGTCTTTATGACAAAGATCACAACAGTCAATTTGAAAGACCAATAAGACTTACAGTACCTTATAGTCAAGCTCAATTGTGTAAGTACCCAAATATACCATTTCCATATAAAGTAAATAAGAATGCTTTAAAAATAACAACTACTGGTCCTAAGATAATTACAACCTAACCTTAATAATGAGGCAAAACTCAGGTTGGTCTTATTATTTATAGTAACTACTTTGGTTAATGGCCTCAGTTACCCACATTATTATTTCGTGTAATCATCACAAATACGGCAAATGTTCTTAAAAAGTACCTTCATTTCTTCTTAAGTGCTTCAGCAAACCATTTCCTCCACTGCTAACTGGTTAAAATTTTATTCACTAACAACTTATTACTTTGTGATTTTTTTTTTCACATGGGCCAGGCCAGACTTTACAGCTTACACACACACACACACACACACACACACACACACACACACACAAAGTGCTTAAAGCAATTAGGAGTGTAAACAAAACTGAATTAGAAAACTTTTAAAACTGCTATTTTTCCAGTAGTTTACATACAAATGGCATGTTAACAATAAATCGACCCTGCACCCTGCCTAATCTAACTCTTAAGCAATTCCACTAGGAAAACAAGATCCTAGTTTAAATTGACTTGAAAAAATGGAAAGTGCACATCTTTAAAGACATTTTATAATTTCGAGTTTTTCCTCAATTAAACTTAAACAGTGAGGTTTTGCTGTAATTACTTAATCCCATTCACTAAGTCCCCAACTTGTCTCATACAAAAATAAGAAACAAGGATAATTACAGACATTGGGCTTATATGACAGCAAAAAATAAAGATCTGGATTGTATGAAAATCTGTACACAAGAAGTTCCATTCAATTAAAACAACATTAAGTTCAGTGTCTTTTCTGACAAGTATACATGAAATTTCTAGGTTCTGTCTTCTAATTTCAGTTAGCCAAAGTAAATGAAATGCAAAATAGAATCATAAGTTAGTAACTATCCCTTCCTTGATGACAGGGAGATAGATGCTGTGATATTGCTAATGTTTCTGAGATAATGACAAAGATGAACTTACCTTGAAGATATCTTGTTAAAACCGCACATATTTTTAACTTGTAATTTAATGATTAGAACTATGTTTGCACTTGTTATTCATAATAACTGGAATATACACGAAACCAGATTATCTGGATAATCATTTCAATATTAAAATTCTCTTAACATACATTAATTAGATTTTTTGACTTGGCATGTCAAAAATCCAATTAATGATACACAAAGACAAACAGAGACATCCAAGATTTTCTCATCTATTCAAAACCTTAATTTCAATTTAAAAAATTTGGATAAAGTAATAATGAATCTTATGGTACGAAAGAATTATGATTATCAACTTCCTTTTAAAGGCTACAAGTCCTTAAACTTGTTTGTAAGAAGAGAAAGGGAGAAAAGAATAATGAGACTAAAGAATAAAAATCTGGACTGATTAAAAAAAATTGTCCCCATAATATTAGCAACTAAAAATTCTGCAAAGTTTTAGAATCCATTAAAATTATCACTAAATAATCTTTGAAAATACAAAAAAGTTTACGTCAAATGCTATGCCAAAATGTGTCCAAATAGCATCATGTTCAGTCAACAGAGACATGGTTTTCTGGAGGTGAAACTGAGGACTTGAGAAATTAGAGAAAGTGAAAACAGCAGCTCACAAACTTAAAAGCCACCAGCTTTGGCTACCGTTCCATGCAGCCCTCAGGAGTGATGATCACCACTGGAGATGTTCTGAACAGCAGTTGCATTATCAAGGCCCAGTAATGTTCCAAGGTAAGACTGCTCTCTAGGATCAAGCATTTGTTCAGGCCGGACGGGATGAACTATATTTGCAGGTTGAGGAGTCAGAGTGTACTTTTCCAGAAAAGCTAAGTCAGCTGCACGTGGGTAATCAGTGGATTGTGGCTGAGGTGGCAGGACCTCATGGGAGGCTGGCGGAAGTGTGGTCGTATGCTGCACCAGGCCACTGGGAGTGTCAGGCATCTGCACCGGCACCAAGGTAACTGGAACACACACTTCAGCAGACACATTCTGTAACAAAGTCTTGGCTTCTGATTGATAAACTTTGGGTTGGTCTAGATATTGTTTGGTTTCTGTCTGAAAGATTTTATCATCGGATGAGTATTCTACGGGCAAGGACACAAGTTTTTCTTCAGAAGTACTGAGTGGATCATCAGGGGATTTTATCCCATGAACATGGTCAATGTGGTATTTCAGCTTGTCTTTCCGCTTAAATGTTGCATTACAGTGCTGACAATTGAAAGGTCGGGCATCAGAATGAATTACCAGGTGTTTGGTTAAAGTTTTCTTAATTCTAAAAGACTGATTGCAAATTTGACACTTGTATGGTTTTTCACCTATATGAACAAAAATGAAATTAAATGTAAAATATGCCCACTTGTTAATTTAAGCAGCAAACTTTCCATATGCAAATGTGTTAAGAGGAAAACATCTTATGCTATCACAAAATGGAGACAGTAAACTCATAAAGAGAATAAATTTAGTATTAAAAAGATGTCAGTTTAATTCTAGGTATACCTTTTATTAACCAGCTTGGGCTTCTAAGCCTAATTTACCAGTCTGGAACATCCAACAATAGGTTTTGGAGGGGTTTTTTTGGTTGTATGTGTCCAGGTCCTGCAGCTTGAACTCAGGTCCTGGGATGTTCCTGAGCTTCTTTTGGTCAAGGCTAGTATTCTACCACTTGAGCCTCAGCTCTGCTTCCAACTCTTTTTTGGCAGTTTATTGGAGATAAGTCTCATAAGCTGGGCGCAGGTGGCCCATGTCTGCAATTGAAGCAGTTCAAAGCCAGGCTAGACAGAAAAGTCCATGAGACTCTCCAATAAACTACTCAAAGCTAGAAGTGGCACTGTGGCTCAAGTGGTAGAGCACTAGCCTTGAGCACAAAGTGAGGTTCAAGGTCAATGCCCAGGCCCTGAGTTCAAGCCCCAGGACTGGCAAATAAATAAAGTCTCAGAGAGGTCCCTGCCCCAGCTGGCTCTGAACCGTGATCCTCAGATCTCAGCCTCCAGAGTAGCTAGGATTACAGGTGTGAACTATCAGTGCCTGGCTCAGCAACCATAGTGTTTAAATGAGAAAGTGAAGTATTTTGTACTACATTGACACCTGATATGTGTGTGATAAGTCTTAGCTATCATTATTATTGCTTACTTTATTTCACTATACCATACAAAGGTTAGTTAAAAATTAAACAGTTACTGGTGAGGTGGCTCATACCTGTAATCCTTGCTATTCAGCAGGCAGAGATCTGAGGATCATGGTTGGAAGCAAACCTGGACTAAAAGTCCCCATGAGACATTTATCTCCAATTAACTATCAGGAAACTAGAAGTGGCACTGTGGCTCAAGAACGCTAGCCTTGAGCAAAAGAGCTCAAGGACAGCACCCAGGTCCTGAGTTCAAGCCCCATAACTGACAAAGTAGTTGACTTCCTTCCACTCATGGAAGATAAAAACCCAAACAGTAACTCTTGATTAACCTAGGTGTTTGGATCAGAATGAGAAGTATTAATACTCATCTCCAGTCTGAAGTCAAAATAAGAAATGTTCATGAAGGGAAAGAATAAGGAACACTGAAAACCAAGTCAAGGAGGTAAAAAAAAATAACCCATACAAGATCTAAAACAAAGCTTCAACAAAGAAATTGAAGCTATCAAATCTGACCAATTAGAAGGAAAGGAAATAAAAAACAAAGTAGAAAGTCTTGACAGTAGGTTAGACCTTGCAGAAGATCAAATCTCTGGGATTGTCAGAACATGACAGGATGAATGGGATAAGACACTAGGAATCAATCTGGATTTATTCTGGAAATGCAAGCTTTAATGTTGAGACATCAATGGAATTTACCACATTAATAAAAAAATTTAAAATATGGCTGGGTACCTGTAGATCATGCTTGTAATCCCACCTACTCAGGAATATGTAGGATCTGTCTGAAGGCAGCCTGGGGAGAAAAGCTGCAAGACTCCAGCTCTAAAATAACTAGCAAAAAGCAAGGCTGCAGGGATGGCTCTAGTGGTAGAGTGTCAGAAGTGCAAGCAAGCTGAGCAAAGCTGAGTTCAAACCTCAGTACTAACAACAAAAACTTTACCCTTCTACATCTCTGTGTGTGTGTGTGTGTATATATATATATATATACACACGCATATATATACATATATACACATATGCATATAAATATATGATCACCTCAATAAATGCAGAAAATGATAAAATTCCATGCTTGCATGCAAATTATTGAAAGCTTTTTGTTTCATTTTGAGATAAGACAAGGATATCCATTCTCAAGTATTTCTATTTGTATACTACCAGAAATGTAAACAAAGCAATGTACCTCACTTTAAAATAATGACAAGTGGGGAAGAAATATTTGCAGTGGTTGTAAAATACATGTACTTCTTATACACATATAAAAATTGAGTTTGTGGATCTATAAATTTCAGAGATAGACTAAGGAACATGGCCATCAGATTTTGGAGCAGAAAAATGGTGTCATATCCTGCTTAGCAACCCTGTTGGTCATTTTAGGAGCTGGAAAACTACAGGGTGTAAACCAAATGCAGCTCCTTTGCCTGTTTTTGCAGTTCTGTAGACAAGCCACATTACTTTGTGCAGTGTCTGAGGCTGGTCTTGTGCTATGGCAGCCGAGGTGAGTGTCTACAATGGACAATCTGATCTGCCCTAGCCCACTGTATATCATCTCAGCCTTTGTAAATGTTAGCTGACCTGCACTTGATATTATTTCTCCCTCTCATTTCATGTTGTCATAAATAGAGCTCACTTTCTCAATTCTCAAAGGGCAATGAAGCTGGTCTCTAATTCCAATGAACTATGAAATACAGTTCTATGTTGTCACAGGCCACAAATAAATTACCATAAATCCAGGTTTTCAATAACATTAATACAATTTTGCTAGCAGTACTGTATGGTTCCTTTAGAATAGTTCCATACATTTAAATCACTAATAGTCTCATATTAACTTCCCTTAAGTTTACTGACTCTTTCAAGTGGCAGTTCTAAAAAAAGTTTTCATTTATAACAGGTATGAAAGATGGCATCCACATAGTTTTTTCAGTTTTATACTCCCATGTATGTACTATTAAGTTACAGCCTTTTCTTCTGGAAGAGTACAATCTTTTGCGTGTGTGTGTGTGATGTGTCGGGTCGTGGGGCCTGAACTCGGGCCTGGGTGCTGTCCCTCAGCTTGGAAGAGCACAATCTTGATTTTAGCAATGGCACTCCATCAGTATTTAAGTTGCCCAAATGCAGTTACCTCTCACTGTGACGTTTATGAAATCAATTGTTCCCTTCCAGAACAGCAGCTTGCAAAAATACAAACTGAATATAAAGTAAAGCAGTTATACATAAATAATGGGCTTCATATGTAATCTATTCTTTAAGTTTTACCTGAATGTGTCCGAAAATGCATTTCCAAGCTTGATTTTCCTTTAAAAATTTTCTTACAAACATCACATTGATGAAATGTTGCTTTATATCTAGAAAATAGGTAAGTTTGAGTTCTTTCCATATAATGTCAAGAAATAGCAATGAAAATCAGTTGTAATTTTATAACTGTACATGTAATTATATATCGACACCAAGAGTGATTTAAAAAACAAATGGTGTTTAGCAGGGCTCACACCTATAATCCTAGCTGCCCAAAAGGCTGAGATATGGAAGATTATGACTTGAAGCTAGCACAAGCATAACAGTCCAGGATTTAATTAATCAGCAAAATCCTGGATTAGAGACATGACTGAAATGGTAGAGCACCAGCCATGAGCAAGCAAAATCAGAGAGAGTGTGAAGCCCCATACTGACAAAAATAAAAGATAAACAGAAAACCATTAGCAACTGCATTCATCAGAAAGCATGGCAGTCTGAAGAAACACAGACACTATTTAAATATTGGTTCTTCCTTACAAATAAGTCTATAAAGAAGATCTTAAAGTTGAAAACTGCTTTGAATTACCCATTTTTGTTTTATTCAGCTATTAAATATATACAGGAAAAATTATAAGAAGTAAAATAGATCCATGGTTGGCTAGAGGGAAAAGGAGTGACTGGCTGCAAAGGAACAGCAGAAATTTTGTGATGATGGAATTATTCTATATTTTGAAGTTTTTGATGTGTACATAACTCAGAACTACACACTAAAAAGATTGAATTTCACTATACGTAAATGACAACTGAATAAAAGAAATTAAAGAGAAACTGCAACAATCTCAAAACCTGTATACATCAAAAAATTGACGCTGGGGCCAAGCATGGTGATCAACACCTGCAATCTAAGCTACTTAAGAGAAGGTAGAATTATTAGGATCCTAAGACAGCTCAGGCAAAAGCACAAGACCCTATCAGATAAAGTAAAGCAAAAAGGCTAAGGGGTCCTAGAAGGCTTGTCTTGCCTAACACAAGGCCCTGAGTTCTGAAAAAAAAAAAAAAAAGAAAGAAAACAAATTCCACAGGCTGCCCCAAGTTAGACTCAGTAAACAGCACAGTTGGGTACCTAGGAAGTATTTTCAAGTTAATCTTAAATTCAAAATTTGTGAGGACCAAGATACTTGTGAAACAACTAGCGCTTGTCAATGTCTAACCTCCTGGCCTTAGAATTCAGAGTAAACAGGAAAGGAATAGGGGAAAAAAAATCTACTTTGTTCAATGCATTTAGGACTGTAGAGAAGCTAAGTAAACTGAAGAAAAAGAGCCAGCTAGCCTATCCCCAATTACACAAAATAAACAAAACAGATTTAACTTTTCTTGAAGCAGGACTCAGCTAGTTTGGCACTGACAATGAGGTGTACATGCTCACTCACTTTTGCCACACTTTCTCTCCAAGGTGCACACTTTTGTAATGAACAGTAAGATGATCTCTACGACCAAAGCATTTTCCACACTCTTCACACTGGTGAGCCTTTTCACCTAGAAATAAAGACCCAGATACCTTAATCGGAATATGCATTTGCATTTTAGTTTAGTTTTGCTTTTCTCCAGAAATAAAGACCAAACAATAAGAGGACATGGTGGAAAGAGCAGGTAAGATTTGGTTATTTCCTTTGTATTTCTTACTCAAATATGTTTCCTCAAAGAATCTTAGGTTGAGCTCATGGGTGTATCCTTTTTTCCCACATGGAGAAAAAAACACATCAGTAGCCTATGGCTGTAGACTTCAAACCTTACCTTTCAAAAGGTCTGAGTTCAAGAAAAAGTGAGTCAAATTTCAGAATATTCTTTTAGGAGTATATGCCTGAATACAAAAACCTTTATGTTTTTGTATTCTATCTTTCTGTTTATAAAAACTATCTTTATAAAATCTATCTATAAGATCTTTATAGAAACTGTTTATAAAAGGCCTTAAACATTTGAAAATGATCCTTGTACTTCATTTTTAAAAGACTTTTTTCACCTGTAGGATTTCTTACATTTTTTTGAACCAAAATGAACTTTCTAGTAGAAGATTATATTCTTACATTTAGTTACAAGAGTTTGGTCTTTAAAAATCTGTGTGTTTATCGAGAACTGATGACTCACACCTGTAATCCTAGCTACTCAGGGGGCTGAGATTTGAGGATCCTCATATAAAGCCAGCCAAAAAGTCGGGTGTGGGGGTGTGGCTCAAATGGTAGAGCACCAGCCTTGAGTGAAAAAGCCAAACAAGAGAATGAGGTTCCAAACCCCAAAACACACACACACAGAGAAAAATCTGTCTCAGTAACAAGGTGCAATTAATGTACATGACTTCTAGAATTCCTCTCAATTTAGGAGGATAATCCTAGGAATAAAAATATATAAATCCAACAAAAAACCATTAAACCTTTAAGATCTCTCAGTGACCTCACTGAGATTATGTACAGAAGGGATCAGCATCCCTGTGTACTTGAATCTATGCTGACAATCTTCAGAGTCACCTGTTCTACTGAGCGTGTGCAGAGAGAGGGCCCTGCCCTGCCTGCACTGTGCTTGCCTCCTAGATGGCTCTCAGCATTACCTGAACATCAATCGGAGAGGAAAACATGAGAGAAATTCCCAGAATATAAAGATTATGAATACTATATGAAGATTTGAAATTAAGCAGGATAATTATGGAGCTTTTTTCCAAGCCTAAGATTGCAAAACTCACTGTAACAGACACTTGTGGTAGCACCCAATTACAGACATGTGCCTTTAGAAGACCAAAATTTCACTTTTTGTCAAATTTAATCAAAATGAGATCAAGGTTTCCTTCTTTAAGAAAGTGTCAGTAACAATTCCTGCACACATCAATGTCATAGAGAAATTGCTTAGAAGTTACAACTTCAAAATCTTCACAGTCATAGATAACACTCAAAATTCAGCAAACGTGTTACAGAATTCCCCTTTGAGATGCTTTTTCAGAAAGGCTTTTAGAGCCAGAATTACAAAGGGGTGATTTACATAGCAAACTATTAAAACAGCAAATGTAAACAGGGTGAGGTACTGTATTCTCAAAGGGTACTTTATAATCATTTTGGAAATGGAATCATAAAGCATCATTACCTGAATGTATTTTTTTGTGCTTTGTAAGGTGGTCATGACGAATGAATGTCTTTCCGCATTCATCACACTCATATCTTTTATCATCATGATGTACTCGTAAGTGAAGTCTATAAAGAAAGACACTGGAGACCATTAAACTGATGATGCAGAAGGAACATGCGTGATAATGAGGAAGTGCTGAAAACTGCTCTTTATTCAACCACCCCATGTTTGCTTTGTATCTGTGACTTCCAAGGCATTTCTCCTTTCTCACCAGCTGAGCCCAGTATTCCCAGCCATCTCTCAGAAAAGAATAGTCACATTTGCACATGCTCAAATCATTTCTGGAGTAGAGGTCTTCCAATACAAATCTTAGGTCTTAAATCTGCTTCACTAACTCTGCCAAATGCCTGGGATTGTTAAATATCAGAAGGGTCAAATTCCAGAAATGTACAAGTTTGAATATTCAAGTTGCCAAAACAAATGCTATTCTGCAAAATGAGTAAACAGTCACTAGAACTAGACTACATCTAAAGTTAAGAGTTTAAATAGTCTGTTTAAACTAAAACAGTCAACAAATGGAAGCATAAATATTAAAGCCTAAAGTTACAATTCTAGAGAGCAGTAATAAAAATTAAACTCATAGACACTTTTCATAATAAATTACCCATTTATTTAGGAAGATCAGTTTTTCATTAACTGAATATATGGTAGAAGATTCAACCATAAAAACGAACAGCTAACAATGCAGAAAAGACTTTCAAAAATTTGAGTTCCAGAGTTCTTAATCTTACCATATTTTTATGCTACAGATATTTACTTCTACAAGAAGGAATAACGAAGTTGGACATTGGTGTCTCACACCTCTCTACTCCTCTCTATTCAAGAGGCTGAGATTTGAGGATAGCAGTTTCAAAGTTGCCCAGGAAGAAAAGTACACAGGACTCTATCTTCAATTGACAAGGACAGAAGGGTTAGGACATGGCAGGAAAGGAAAAGGGAAGAGAAGAAAGGAGGAAAGGAAAGAGGAAAGGGAAAAGGGAAAGAGGTGGACAAGAGGTAAGGCTCAACTGGTAGAGCACACACACTAACTTCAGATAAAAAAGCCAAGTGAGAGCCAGGCGCTGGTGGCTCCTGTCTGTAAACCTAGCTACTCAGGCTGAGATCTGAGGATCGTGGTTCAAAGCCAGCCTGGACAGGACTGGAGATATGTGAGACACTTATCTCCAATAAGCTACCAGAAAACCAGAAGTGGCGCTGTGGCTCAAGTGGAAGAGTGCTGGCCTTGAGCTGAAGAGCTAGGGGACAGCACCCAGGCCCAGAGTTCAAGCCCCGTGACTGACAAAAAAAAAAAAAAGCCATGTGAGGACAGGAGGCCCTGAGTTCAAGTCCTGGTACTGACCCAGAACTAAAAGTAAAGAATGAAGAAAAACACCAAAAGTTCAGAACATCAGTTTTAATAAATTTTCATTCAAAGACAAATAAATATTGAAATAATGACAATTTCATAGATGCTTCAGTAAACTTGGTAATGAATAAGCATTTAATATTCTCATACACAGAACGGAAATAACATCAAATGTTGTAGGGAAAAATATATTTAGTAAAGTTTGCATACAACTTTACGTATCATATGGGCTAAGAAATGTTTTCGTTGAAGCAACAATTAGAGCAAGACAGGCTGGTG